AGCTTTTAATGTTCGTACCCTATGCCAAATAGGGCAACAGGCTTCGTTAGTTAGAACTTTGGAATCCCGTGCGACCGATGTGTATCGCGTCTCCGAAACGCGCATGCAAGATCACCTAGTGTGGATGGGGAAACTATACAGTTTGCGCTTCATGGTTCTGGAAGCCCTGATGCTGCATCCCGTGGCCTCGCTTTTACTGAATTTATTAAAGGAGGGAGGGTGGTGTATCTGACCAACATTCATGACGGTGGGGCGATAACCTCAATCTACCCATGTCTGTGAGCAGAACATTTTGTTTGCTTACGGCTCCTTACGATATAGCAGGATGTAACAAATCAGTGATATTGATGTTACTTTTCCTTGTTAAACTCGTCTACAACCCATGTCTGTAACCTTGCACTGGTTTTTACTTCCTACCGAGAAATCCTATTACAAGCTGGTCTGGACAACTATACTCAAAAAGAGCTCATTCATAACTTCTTGAGCCTCAGAGTTAAAAATAAAAAGAATAAATAAAACAAAAAATTATATCACTGAGCCTCTTTATTGTATTTTGTAAATCAACATTATTACTAACAACTTGGTTCTTCTGAATTTTCTCTATTCATTCGACTAACTTCCCATTAGTTATCTCACTACTGAATTGTCTTCATTAACCTACATAAGTGCAGGTGTTTAGTTTTTGTTATGATATTAAAAAAGGCTGAGTAAACATACCTTTGTTTTATCCATAAACGCATGTGCAAAGCCATTGTTCGGCTTTGAACATGAATATTTTCCGTTCCGCTCCTCGTCCCGTTTTCTTTATTCCTCTTTTTTCAGAACCTTATTCCAATCCACTTATATTAGTCTGGATATTTGCAGTAGACTTGGTTACCCTACCCAAGAACATGTGAAATCATTAGCTGACGAATATCAACCTGACCTTTGTACATTTACCGCATCAATTCTTGTTATATGAAAACCCATCTGTACCATGAATCGATTCTCAGTCCATAAGATGATTGTCGTAACGCAACCTTCGTAACTTGCGCCAATTACTCGCTTTGTACATTCCATCTTTAAGAAAACAATGAATCTTGTGAAATGTTTCAGTAACTGTATACCGTTTTAAAAGAAATATGTTGCTAATCTTAACATTTTGATCTTGCCTGTAAATTGGCATGTCTCTTGTAACATGTTTGTTACTTGAGAATAAATTATTATTATTATTATTAAGTATAAATCGGAGAAAAATCATGAGTACTGAATTTTTTCAAAGTAGTTTTGTATTTTCTCATTTTCATAATTTCGGATCAACGGTTAACAGTCTAATTTTTACTGTTATCAGCCGCTTTGGATGCTGCGCGAAGTCAATTAAAAGGTATTCAGTTCAAATCCACGAATGAATGGAGCTGAACCGACAGGGGGTCTGAGCTAGTTATGCAAAGGAAATGTATCAAATGAGATGAAACCGCTCCCACAGGAATGTGGCTGACGCAGTTTGTAGGCAATACCTGATTTTTGAAATTTCACACCTGTATGAATCCACAAAACCTAAAAGCATAGAGGAAGTTGATTAGCCTAATTTGTTAGAAATTTCATCCCCCTTATCGTTATTGACTACATATACCATGAAAGTGGAAGGTATGAAACAGGTATTTGCTGTTGAAATGCAAGCAATAAGAGCTTCTGATAGGATTGTTTTACCGCAGCCCAAGCTGTGAGATAAATGAGGTCTTGTTAGACGGACTAAACACCTGGACTTTAAGCGGTCAATCTTTGACTCTGGTTGACCCTACTGCACCTTCTATGAACTGAGAAAATCTAATGGCTTAATCGTAAGAAAATCCTTACAACCATTATCTTTCTGACTTAGTTATTACACGTGCCCAAACCCAACATGTGAGAGAAGCTGCTAGACATGACTCGGGATCCGAATCATTCCCACTTGATCTCATATTAATCCAACATGATAATGAAGTTTCAAAGCTCGGATATACTCCACTCCTAGATGAGAGTAACCTTTCCGTTCCAGTCTTTGATTTTCATATCTTTATTAAAAGCGATATGAGCAAAAGATCGGAAAGCAAACATCTAGAAAATTATGCACTTAACAACCTTGGTAAATTGAACAAATAGAGCCAGAATCCTCAATCAAACATGTTGTAGATGGATTTTCTACCCTAGCAGTTCACTCCGATTCGAATAGGTGCAGGTTGGCACTCGACGTCCCATATCCAAAACCAAAACACAATAATTCTGGGAGAAAACGGTCTTTATTTATTATGAAATGGAAATACAGACAATTACCCAACTATTATAACACCTTCCAAGTCTAATTTACCCTGGTGGATATCCGTTTCCAGTCCGAATTGCTACGGAATCGAATCCCGAATGGCTGTAGCTATATTAAATACCAAATTTAAACAACATATGTACAGTTCAGAATCAAACATAAAAACTTCAATATAAGTACAAGATATAAAAATAATAACAATATACAATGATAAAATCTCAAAATGGAATCAAATAAAGTACCAAAATGTCAACAGAAAGAGTCAGTCATATCATAACACAAACATATATTCATGGAGGGATTTTCCAAAAAACAAAACATTCAAAAAAGATTCTACACATGTATTCAGGAAATTTTAGATAACAGTCACTTTTGCGCAAATTCCCTGAACTACACCGAAGTATCCAAGAGAATCCACACTACAAATAAACAAGGAGTTTCGAACCCTTACACAAAAGAGGAAAAATATATGGGAGATGAGACAATATCTCAATGTTTGGAAGCCTGAAATATCGGTCTGACCCTCTGCAAGTCTAAGAGATTCTAAGAAAAATAATCTGTTAAGGATCGACAGAGTATCCCTAAAACTTATATTCTGTAGTACCTGCACATACATTTGAGTTTGATCACATCTGATTTTATTCAGTCTTTTGGTGAATTAATTTAACTGAGTCATTCATATAACAATAAATTATATGTACCACTGGCTTTTATCATTGTCGGGTTTTTGTGATCAGGTATGACTGAAAATTGCTTACCACCTACGCACATATACTTCATATTGGCTTAAATGTTAGCCGTTATTAATGTTTCGATGACTCATCCACTTTCCTACGTATTTATATGAAGATTTTAAACTGATCGATTCATCCGCTAACTCGCTCATTCGTTTGCCTGCTTTTTGGCACCCGTATATTATTTCTAATCCGTGTGCCCGTGATTTGGTGGTCTTTAAGTTATGCACCAAATAAACGTATTGAACACTTTGTACTCCTCTTTTTCTCTGTAAACCGTGAGGCTTTATTTAATAACTGTTGTCTGGACTAGCAGCCTACGAAATTCAAGAACATAATGAATACTGACCACCAAGAAACTAGGGAACCACCGGCCACCACAATTCTCAGATAAACCAACGGAGTAAAAGAAGAGGTTGCATACCAGCATTATCAAGAGATATTTGTACTGCATCATAGGTGGAAAACAATTATGGTAAGTCTCGCGTATTCTCAAACTACTTTTTCTACGCGTATAACAGAGTGAAGCATATTCCCCCAGTGTATTTAAATCTCTTCATACACACTCAAGACATTGTATCAATAAAGGAACTTGATGTTCTCGATCTCTTGAATGGGCATAGTTCAGGTAAATCTATGTGATCCAATAAAAACGTCCTAGATTACTCAGAGAACTAGAAATTTCACAGCAAATACCTTGAGTATATAAGTTAATCTATCTGTAAAACAAGGCAGATCATAAAAAGACTGGAGGAATTCCATAATAAGTTCTGTATTCAAAACACGCACGAGACACAAACCTGAGAAGTATTGACTAGTCGGTCTAACTAGTGTGATTACTAAAATTTTAGAAAACATTATTAATAAGGTGTTCCAGTACCTAGGAGAAACCATACTTCAATCTGAGAAGCAGTACGGCTTTAAAACAGGAAATTAATACCCTTTAGACCAGCTAGTAAACATCAAAATTAGCACGCTCTTAAAGATCAAAAGCTACTTGTACGTGAAGTGTTCATTGACTTTAAAGAGGATGTTGGCAAAGTCCCTCTTAACAGACTCTCATCAAGGTGAACAGATTTCGAGATCGGAATAACTAAATTATGTGGATTAAGGATCTCCTATTCAGGTGTCTAGGAAATGTACGGATCAACTTCAGGTTGTCCAGCTGGGAAACTGAGCTCGAGTGGGAGCTCTCTGGATAGTTTTGCCGCCAGTATTATTCCTCCTGTTCGCAAATAATCTGCTTGGCCTCTTTATCCTCATTATTTTTGTTATATGCTGACGACATCAATGGATGGAGGGCGATAAAAAATGTAAGTGACAGTTGCAGATGTTCGAGTCGAAAGAATATGAACACGTCGGTAAACCAATTAGGTTCCTTTCCCAAAAGTTATCTAAAATCTACTATCGGAAAGAGAAGACGGGATTGACTAGATGATATAGGTATACTTGCTGGAGATTTCCTTGTATCGCAAGCAAACCTAAACGTGCCAGAGAATTGAGTGAAGGAACAGAGCAGCAAAAGCAAAACGGCGAACCGAAAGTAGAGATCGTGTGGCCTTAGTGTAATGTCAGTATATATACAAAGAGTACTATAGTTAATGAATAATACAAAAGTAAGAACAAAATAATATTCAGTAAAACGTTCACTAGGTTCAACTGGTTATAATAATGAATGTCGCTATTTAACCGATCGTGTTTCCCTCATTTTTCTTGCTGACAATACAGAAGACTTCTGGGGCACTCCCACGAAGTCCCTAACTCCAGAACGAATTACTAGTCACCTGAATATCGACTTCTCATCCTAACACCAAAGAATGAAACTCTTCATCTTAACAAGTGATTAAAGCTCTGACTGTCCACGAATTAAAAAAGTAATTTGGATCAACTAAAGGGCCAACTTCATTGGGTCCAACATTGCTGACCCACCTTCCTGACTGTGATAAAAACTGAAACTGAAATTACCTTTGGAAGATCGTTTTAAAGTATCCACGACGACGAGGCCAGTTTAAAATTTCCCTGGGTTATGTTTCTAGTCTTCGTGCCTGTCCTATTCATTGTTCTTATCAAAGGTAAGCTTTATTTTCTTATGCACAAAAAACTTTTAGAATCCGATTCACAGCAAAGCACTGTGACTTGCGGTTCGGTACTCAAGTTAGTGAATACTGATTTCAATGCGAGACTTCACTCACATGATGTTCAGTATGGTAGTGGGAGTGGGCAGCAGTCTGTTACCGCTGTATCTGACGAAATGGATCCAAACAGCTACTGGCAGGTCCGTCCAATATTATTGCAAAAAACTATGAACATAATAAGCTTTAGTTGTCAATATCGGATTTTTGTTCTCAGCTCACTGGTTAAAGTGTTTCAGGGTGTCAAACGGTAAAGTAATACAGTAGTAATGATATAAAGCATACTTTCTCGGAAATTAAAGTCAGTGACGGAAGTCTTGTTGGGGTTTTGTTCTTAATTAGCTAAGTTAAAGGTATCACTTCTTATTCTTCAAGTCAGCTATTTTATTCACTCACATATGAGTGTATATGTAATAGTCTACCCAAAACTTCATAATTAATGAATACCACTCCTTTTAACGTATTACAAAATCATTGTACATTATGCTCTGTTTGTTATCTCTGCCACTCTATCCTGATACTAGTCCAAATAGACTGGAAACCAACTTTATTTTTACTAATTGTAATATATTGAGTTCCATTTGAAATAACCTTGTTCAGTAGTACATTTTGTAAGCAACAACTGAGTACGTACCGTGAGAGAACTAGTTCACACCAGCCTTCTCAAATCTTTTTACTCATTTTGTCCCTTCAATTAGAGAGAACTCTCCTATACTTAAAAAACTGGCTTTTTGTCAACAAACGATTGAGAATAATTGTCAGCTTTTGTTTATAAACACATATCTTTCTTACAGAGTTGGTAGACCATTATTTCTACTCCTAATAAAACTCACTATGATAAGTTCATAGGTAGATTTGATCTGCAAATTAATGTAGGTTATAATCAGGCACAAGTAAATGTTTCATTCCTTAATTTTGTAATCATTCGCATCCATATACTTCAATATATAGGTTAACACTTGGAAATTCATACACGTGATACTTAAGTTGGCTACTGTCCTGTACCATTAAGCAACCGATTAGAAGTTGATTTCCAAAACAAATACAACTTTTCTAAATGTTTTCAGTATTTTTTACTCATAGCCTTTAACAGGAACTACACATTTTTCATCAACTCTTAACTGTTAATTATTGTGTAAAGAGTAACTCGATAATTGGTGATTTTTACTCCCATGATATGATTTAAACGTTTCTACAATAAGTTGTTTTCAATTCATATTTAGGTTGTTGAACGTAACGGTAGCCCCCAGTGTAATCGAGGTAGAGTTATAAAATGTGGACAAAAAATCAGGCTGTTGCATATTGCAACTCGAAAATATCTTCATAGTCATCACTTTCAGTCTCCTCTTTCGCCTAATTATGAAGTCTCAGCATTCGGTGATAATGGCGTAGGCGATGAAGGTAGGCGTAATTAAAAAACGCTTATGGTAATGAAAATCTTATTATTTTCTATGAGTTTTTTATGAAAATTCCCACCGTTACTCATTGTAGATGTTTTCTCAGCCTAAGTAAGTAGCTCTACTACAAGCGGACAAGCAACTTTCAGATGATCACTCAGTCGGCTGTAATTTAAAACCTGTTACGTACATCAGTCCAAATTGCCAGACCACATTTGCACAGAGATAGAATTATCAGTTCAAATCCCATGGTAGTAGAGGTTTTAGCAGTATTAGTGGTTATGGAAAAAATTAGGAATCCAAGATATGACTCAAAAAATATAACCCAGGGAAATAAACTTTAGAAGCGAAAACAGTGGTTATGTCTCCAAATGCCTTGGTATGGTCGAGATTGAAGTGAGTCCGCTTTCCCTCTCGTATGACCATGCGTTTATAATCGCTGTCGAGGTAGTCCTACTCACTGCCTTCTCGTGTCAGTATTGTTTGAGAAATCAAGAGGACAAAAAGCGAGTTTCCAGCGCTTTGCCAGATCGGTAAGTACGGAGGACCCGCCTAGTTTAGTTGGAGAACCCTGAATGCAAACTAATGGTGCACATGTTTCCCGAAGATTGCTGAAGCCGTTTGGATTAGGCGTATTAAATTAACCAAAAAAATCCCTTCGATTAATCTTATGTAAACCAAAGGACGATAAGACAAAGGAAAGCCAAACATCATCTAAAAAATAAAGCCAACAAATACCAGATACACGAGCTCCGGTATCCTGACAGTATGAATGGCTTACAAACCTATTATTGGTCACTGGCCACCATGGGACCGTATCTGCGTACGTTGCTCCGCTGCCTTGTGAACTAGACTTTAGAGTCAAAGGCTCGGGGTGTGGCCTTCTAAGGGAATCACCTGCTTCGGTGTGAGCCTCTGGATAGTCTCATAGGCCACTCGTAAATTCAATAATTTATGTGGCACATACACTTTTAGTTACCCCTTTGTATCAATGTTTATCTGTTCAAAGAAACGCAACAAAGGAGGAACACAAAGAATAGATGCATCTGCTTCACTGCAAACGATTTGGAGTCATGTCATCCCATTACCACTAATACTGCTACGACCTCTCCTCCTATGAGATCTGAACTGACAACTATCTCTTTGTGCTACTGTGTTAGGGCAACTCGAATTGATGGACGTGCTTACCAAGTCTTACGTTTTAGTTAACTGATTGACTTATTGTCGTAGGTACAAAACATCTGTTATATATTTCTGTACTATCATCCCAAATTTATTATGAAATACAGACCACATTTACCATCTAATGATGTCTTTTCATAGCTGAGATATACTATTAATCATGTGTTCTTGGCGACAATAACAAAACTTGATGCAATCAAAAGTATTCTAATGCCTGTCTCCTAACTAACAACAACACTAGCACATATAAATTGTACATATACTATCGTCAGATTAAGCTTCATTATTAAATTGCATTATTCTTAACAGCTAAAATTACTTTAAGGGTATTTCTCGAGGTGATTACTATCAATTACATTATGTGTTAACCTTAGCTATTCCCTGCACTCTACGTTGATAATCATCCACATCAAGTAAACAGCATCCCAAATGTAAGTAACCACAAAAAGATGATTCTTAATTAGTTAAATAAGGTAAACTTTTATCTGTCACGTCGTAATTTCGAACTACTCTACCTGATTTTGCTTAGATAATGTGAATCAAAACCCAATTGTCATACGATAATATGCAAATCGTTTACTTCTAGTCTTCTATCACTTTCATTTGTTGAAATTTAACAATTCTAACCTATACACTTTGATTGTTATAACTTACGCTATAATCAGTCAAGTGAACTGTTCGAGTAATCGTTTTCATTCATTTCCTTGTTGTCTTCTTTATATTTTATTGAGATGGAAATATCCATCAACTTATATCCTCTTGTTTTTGTTGTATAAAGGCGATGATTGGCAAATTATATGTGATGGTGCCTATTGGAAACAGTCGTCAAACATTCGTTTAAAGCATATTTCTACAGAAGGGTTTGTTTGAATACTTTTTACTAGCATTTGTCAATGGTTTTGTTGTTGTCAATGTTATCTTTTCTTATTGATGTTGTTTTGCGTATTGAATCGCATTTTAAACCATTATCATTTTATTTGCCAAATGATTATTATCACTAAAAACTAAAATTCTATTTCTATTATTCAATGTAATACATGATCACTCATCATCACATCGACTGCTTAGATTGCTTAAACTTGTATCCGGTGAAGGAATCACATAATTATTGATTATGTACTACCCGTATAACTACTACAAGTATACTTCCTTTTTAATTACAATAATGCAAACTATCGTGATCCTTGTAGCGTATTATTAATTCGAGGTATTCTTTCAACATTCATTTCTTAGTCAAGCAATATTCTGTTTGTGCAGACAATCATTGTTCAGATCTAACATCTATTATTTTCTTTAGAGTTGTTCATTGAACTACGATGTATGATCTTGTGTCACATAGTTACTACTGACTTTTTAATAATGTTTCAACCCGAGTATTATTTGTTTACCATCATATAAAATATATAATGATAGACTTTCAGAAATCCTGGATTGCTTGTAACTAGATAGATAAATATTTTATCGCGTATACAATATAAACTTGGTTTAGTATGGCCAATCTTATTTCCATCCTACTTGTTCTAAGAATCAATAAATCAGGAATGTTAGAAACTGATAATTCTGTCCATGTGTTAACTCAGATCTTGTCAAGGTCTCATAGATGATGAAACTTAATGCCCTGAAATGTTATCAAATATTGTTCATCATATAAACCAGTGGAAATCGTGTTATAGTTTTCTTCCACGATCTTATTCACAAAATTCTTGACTGTATTTTTAACTGAACTAAAGTGACTTTATGACATACTTTCTATTCATTTAGTTATTGGTTGTTGTACTTATTGTATTTTCTGTTTTCTTTTGTTTTTCACCATGCTATCATCTCATTTACATGATGCATCTATTAATAATGTCTTATTTTTTACTCTGAATAGAATAGAATAAATATTCTAATAAGTTTAAACAATAATCACTGAGTGCAGATATTATCAGTCAACTGACATATCTCATAATCTGCATAGTAAAGGAAATTATTCAAAATTTTACAATTCGTTTACACTCATTTGATTATTATTTTCTCTTGTAAATTAACCGTTCCTTTTTGGATAAGTTTATTGTACATTTTATTGAGTCACATCAATGATATGTGTGTGTGTATGTTTTCGTATCTCTACTTCTCTTAGATATCTTCATTTATCTGGTAAACGTTATAGTAGACCTATATCTGGACAATATGAAGTGTCTTCAACTCCAAAGTTAACTAATGCAATTACTTGGACAGCTGCAGAAGGTGTATACATTGATCCAGTAGAGTCTGGAAATAAATCAACCAGTTCAACTTATGCACATGATGAATTTTGATATACTTGTTTAACAGACATTGACTTTAATTTCTTGTCAAAGGTCATAGTTGTAAATCAATTGTTTATTTTTCCGCTCTTTCTTTCTTCTTCCACTGACCTATAATATATATATATATATATATATATATATATATATATATATATATTAACCTTGTGTTAGTTGTTGAAGAAAATTAGACTTTATAATCTCAAGGTAATGGTATTCATATTGTATAATGTTAAAATATTGAATCCAAGTGCACATACACTTTCTCAATATGATAAATCACTAAGAGATAGATAACTTGAAACTTGATTGAAACACTTCCTAGTTCTCAGCTCATCTTAAAGAGTGTCTTGAATTTGTATAATGATTGATTTTTTAAAAAAAGTTAACAACTGTTGAAACTGTCTTAGGCAAAATCTCTTCCATGTGTTTCCGTACCCCTATTCGAGTTTGCTTTAAATGGAAGTGCAAAATTATTCTGATTGATCATAGTTACTGATGCATTGACAGTTATTTTAAGGCAGAGATTTGCACAGATTGACAAAACTTTTCCGTGTATTCATTTGAGAGTAATTGCAAAAATATTTAATGTATTCTTCATCATGCAGGAATTGTACAATTAACGTTTTGTATATTATAATGATAACACTATATAATTTATTGTCAATCTTTCTATCATATTATGTATTGCATAATAATAATAATAATGTCTGTTTACTTGCTTCTACGTTTGTTTGTTTGTTTTCTTGTGTCGCTTTTTACTTGTTTAAAAAGGTTTTTCATTAACCTTCATAAGGATTAGCCTATTTGCATAAATAAATTGTTGTACATTTCAGTGCTAATACGTTTGATTCTTCGGCTTGCAATGAATGTATTTTGTTAGTTTGTGTGTGTGTGTGTGTGTGTTTATGTCATGACATACACAATGCAAATTTATTTCTATCGACTTTATTATGAGTTAATATTGTTTTGATTTAACTGTACAAACAAAATTATATTTATTAACGTAATAGTCATATTCACGTGAATTTTTTGGAAGAATTGGTTCGAAATAAATTCTACTTCAACATTTAATTTTCTTACACCTTTGTTGTTATTAAGTAACATATTGAATGACGTATAAGACCACAGTTTACAAATCCTCAGATATTCTGTTATCCATGAAAAGTAGGCGAATGAATAAAATTTGAATCTGTAATTTTTTTTGAAGAAAATACAGTAATCTAAGTCAATGTGGAGGTTGACATAACCATAAGTGTATTATCTTATTGAGAATAACATCAGTGGTGTTAAGTAGACAAGTAAGTACGGTTTAAGAAAAATCGAATGCAAAATCACTCTGAAACCCCTCGTTAGTACCAGCAAAGCAACAGAAAAACAGAGGAAATCATAAGAGAAGGCATGAAATAAGTACTGGGAAGTTGTGAAATGATTTGATCGTGAACAACGTTAATTTAGGCATTGTTAGTGTTAAAATAACTCCGGAGCCCATGGAACTGTCGCTTAAAGCCAGATGTGCACTGCCTTTCTATAAGTACTTCTTGATGTGTTACATTAATATCCCTAAAGTCTCACCATCAGCGAACTAAATTCGTCTGGCAAGTAAAGGTATGCAAATTCTAGGGTTGACCTGCCGTAATCCCCTCCCTTCGCGGGTAGGTAATATTTCTGGAGACTCTGATTGTCTGTAGGAAACAATTCACTACCACCACACGCAAGTACAGTTAACAGTATGATTTTCTCCAAGAACTTAATATTAGTCCTACCGCTTTCCAACAGACCCACCATTATATGATCTAAATAAAAGTGTTCCAACTAATACAGCTCAGTTAGGTCATCATAGTTCAGCATAAATCATCCATTTAGCAGTTATGATATGATATAATTATAAATTATGTAAGGTCCAGAGGTTTGTTTCCAATAAAACTCCTTTAGTTGCTTGGATTTTATTAGCATTCGGTCAAATCTAGTCAACTATGCCGCCTCTTATGTGTGATACATGCATTTATCATATTTAAAGCTACTAGTCAGTTTCCAATAGTTTCTCAAAATACATCTAAACAGAAATCGAAAAGAATCGTTATGAGGGATTACATCTGTAAGAGCAGTATAAACCCGAATATGGCTGCTACCTTAACGTGGTGATCGGGCTTGCTATCCTGATGACCCAACCGAGCCATATTGGCTAGAACATGTTCCTGTAGTTCCTGCCATGCTAGGAAGGTCGATTGGAGAATGGTAACACGAAAAGCAGCAACTCAAGGTCTGAGGGCGAAGTCGCACTGCTGACTGTAGAGAGGTGTGACAGCAGTAAGTTGGAAAACTAACATCTACAGCAATGCTGCCCTCTTACGACGGGAGGAAGAGGTTAGAAGAGATCGACCAGGGTGGCTGTTTAAAGAGCAGAGCTGATAATTTCAAAACACCATAAAAAGGCCATACTCTATTGGCTTCAAGCAGTTGTCCCTCGGGTTCTGCGGTCACGCTCCCAGGTCGCTAATCCAACTTATTTTCCAGGTTTCTCGAGAGACCCACGGTGCGGGCAAGTGACATGTGCCCTCATATCAGTAACGTCACAGAGTACCAACTTTGTCACAATCATTCCTAAACTTAGTAACTCTCATTTCTACGAATAACCCTTCTCGCGTACCTTTATCACCTTGTGCCACTAATACAAACGATTTGAGTACACAAAATATTGTTTCTGGTCTCCTGAATCCTCGCTCTAAACTACATATTGGGGCTTTTATTGTTCGGATCTTGTGACAGAAAGAACTACGGGCTTCCTTAGCAAGGACTCTAAAATCTCGCGCTATCGAAGTATAATGCGATTCTCAAAGGCACATACAGGATCTGGGTACAGTCCTTCATTTGACCGCACCTCATCAAATAGAGCATCGTCGCAATTTACGCTTCGTGTACCTGGAAGCCCCACTGTTGCTTTCCGTGGCCATAGTGGTGTAGGTATAGCATTAAATGCTAAAGCAAAACTAGCTGTCTTAGACTGAAATCAAGCAGATAATGGCGTATCTTCTGTCGGACTAAACGGCACAGTAGGGAATCGGAAAGACAGGGACAATCGCCGGCGTTTCTGCCTACGTTCCCACTGATTGTGATTCATATGAGGTAAAGAATGAATTCTACAGAAAGCTTTCCGAAGTGCTTCAAAAAGTTACGTACCCAGATGTAGTAATAGTGGCAGATGACTTTAATTCTCAAGTAGGTAAACTAAGTGACACTTGTGTGGATCTTATAGTTTCTGATAGTTTAATTAGTGGCGTCCGTCTATTGCTGCAGCTATACTTAGATAACCGCCTATTTCTGAAAAGTACCAACTCTAAATATAAGGAAAATTTACTCAACGCTGGAATGGAGTAGACCATATTGCTATCAGACAGCAATAGAAAAGCTCCATAGAAAACCGGTTTTGAAGCACATCCTGCTCTAGTACGAGCACGTATTTGTCTAAGGTTTACTAGACGTAAGAAAGACCCAGAAAGTAAACTCCCAAGAGTTCTACATGAGGATAGTGAAGACAAGAGTGCATTTCAGGAGCAANT